CCTTTTAGGTTTTTCTTCTCTTTCTCTCCCCCTCAAAATTGTTACAAAGAAAATTGCCTGGATTTGATATAATTTAGCCATCTATTCTAAAATGAAAAAGTCACCTAATATTAAAATATTACGGAAATGTAAGTATTAAAAGGCAGTATCTCTCATTTGTCAATGATAACCACAATTAAATGTTGGGTATAGTCTCTGGATTCTTCAGCTTTATTCATTAATGAGACCGTATTACCCATATTATTTTACATAATAAATCTTGTAGTTCAACCTCCTGCGTTTTGGTGGATGTTCAGGTAAGCATTTCCTTGTAAAGATGTATTATAATTAATTACCCAAGTCCCTATTTTGGTCAGTTAGGCTGTCAAACACAATGCTACTTTGGAGACATGCACACGTGTTTCAGAAAGACAAATTCCGAGAAGCAGAAGTGCTGGATGAAAGATTAACAATATTTAATACTTTCACAGCTATTGCTACAGAACCCTCCAAAAAGGCTCCATCACCCCACTACCTTCAGAGTCACTTTCAAACCCAAACTCTCAGCATTCCATTTACCCATGTATTAAATGACCCATCATAGCAACGATTGAAATTGTTACCACTGATAATGCATCACTTGATATCAACACAGCACTGAACGATATTTCACCTTACTGCTAGACTTTTCCAAGGGCCACAAGGCCCCTGGGGAACGTATTCATGTCCTCTTATGATATATTAATACATTAGCATCTATTAGCTTTACAAACACTTGTGAAACCACCTCCAGAGAGAAAATGTCAAGAAACTTTAGAACTCAGGTGGCAAGGATCAGAGTTTTTAAAAATAAGAAAAGAACTCTAGAGAGAACAATTTCTTTCAAACAGTGGAGAGAAACTCACCAAACTAGGCCAAGTATTGAAAAATTCTCAAGGTGCCTTAAGCATATGGCAACACATTTTTCTCTTTTGTACATAAAGTTCTGATTAGTGTGTGACCATATGTGTTTTTTCTTACACCATCTATTCTTGTAACCACACATCAACTATAAAAGAAAAAGAGTACCTGTGGAAAGAAACAGTTGATTCTACAATTTGTTCCCTACCTTGAGTCCCTCCTACCCAAAAACATTTAGGTAGAAACAGGGAAATACAATGATTAATTACAGACAAAGGTTCTGTTCAAAGAGCATGAACTCTGAAGGGCATAAGAAATGCAGACAAAACACTATACTACATTTTAATAGGTTCTAGTCCAAATTCTTTATCTTTTCAACCAACTTACCACTGCTCATTTACTCATTTCAAATTAAATGCAACACTGTCTTCAATCATCTTGTGGGTAGTCCTACAAAATTCATTTTGTCTTCTCCTCCTTATACAAATGATAATGAACTCCCATGAGTTGTTTTCTCTCTCAAATCCCCAGTCATACAACCTCATCATTTTTCATCCTGCCCTCTTTCTCCCGCTGCCCAGTCCTTACCCCTACAACCATTGTTCTTAAACATAAAACCAACTGTAGTCCGATTCCAGGTGAAGCTCTTTAATTACTCCCTATCACCCTTAGACAGAAGTTCTGTGTTACTAGTAGAATATCGTAAGGCCCTCCATAATCTAACTCCGGTCCTCTCCATTTTGCCTTTAACTTTCTCCATCCCCCTTCAAGCTCCAGAGCTTCTGAGCTGCTTCTAGTTCTCTAGACACTGTGGGAGTCCTCCATGTTCAAGGCCTGTGTGTGTCCTGGCAAACACCTGCCCATCTTTGAAGGTGGGAATCTGGCAAAGGCATTTCTATGAGCAGCTTCTCTAGCCATTCCCATTTAGAACACCATCAGGCACACAGTAGGCAATTAATAAGTGCGGTAAACAAGTAAGTACTTCTACTTTAAAACTGTTAGTAGATTGATAGGGATATATAGAAAAGATATAAATTAACTGTAAAAATAAATAAATAAAGGGAAGACTGAGGAATTTAGGCCGAAATAGATCGGGCTAAGCACCAAAGCAGAGACAGCCTCCAAGCTCAGACAAAGACTCTGGCTGATTCCTCCGCAGTGGTTTGGTTCCACAGCAGCAGAAGGTCTCTATTAGGGCCAGGTGCAATGGCTCATGCCTGTAATTCCAGTACTTTGGGAGGCTGAATCAGACAGATCACTTGAGCTCAGGAGTTCAAGACCAGCCTGGCTAACATGGCAAAACCCCATCTCTACTAAAAATACAAAAATTAGCCAGGCATGGTGGCAGATGCCTGTAATCCCAGTTACTCAGGAGGCGGAGGCAGGAGAATCGCTTAAATCCGGGAGAAGGAGGTTGCAGTGAGCTGAGATCTGGGTGACAGGGCAAGACTCTGTCTTAAAAAAAAAAAAAAAAAAAAAAGTCTCTGTCAGGAAGAGAATGTCTATAAGGAAACGATTCCCTTAAGAGATTTTGGAGGAGGCTTCAGGAGAGGGGCGAATAACATGACAATATTAACATTTAACTTTGAGGCCTACGGTGCCTTCCATTCTTCTAATGACAAAAGCTGACTTCTGCAGGCACATGTATTTTGCTTTATCCGGTATAGACATTCTTAATAATAGGCATGAAAATGTAATTTTAGGAATTTAATTATATCTTAAGTTCACCGGGGGAGCTTGTTATTTAAAGGGTGCAAGAGTGAAATCTTTTGCAAACCCCCCGCTAATTTATCCACATTTCACGGCAGGACTCCCCTTAGTAAATTCCCAAGGACAGACTCTGGTTTGAGTTAATTTATCTGTCTATGCAATTGTCCACTTGAGAAAACATGCACCCAATCTGCACAAAACAAGATACACTGGCAGACTGCAGGAGAAACAGGGAATTATAAGCAATAATCCTTGTCCTCAAGGATTCTACATATAGCTGGGGAAATGAAACACACGCCTACACACACACATGCATGTTATAAAACAAGATATTTCTATGAATAGTGTAGTGAGGTGCCATATAATTAAGAGCCAAATAGGTAATACCTACTCTACTCCAGGGTAGAAGCCAGAAAGTACATTCTACAGGTGCCAATATATATTACCTTTAATCATCAAAGCCATCCTGCCAGGTACACACACTTTTATCTCCATTTTACAGCTGAGCAAGTCGTCAAATCCCAAGATAGTCGGTAAAGACCATGGATGGCCCCTGGCCATGGCACGAATGCCTCTTAAAACAATCCTGCTTCACCTTAGCCATCCCAACGCCACACATGTCTTTTGGGGAACTTTGGTCACTGCCTATTTCAATTTTGGATTCCTCTAACAATGAGAGATGGTCCCCTTGTACTGATTCTTAGAAGCTATTTCTACACAGAGGGAACATGAGATAAGACATTATTAAAAATGTGAAAAACAAACAGAATTAAGTTGAAAAATAAAAAGGCAGAGGAAGGGAAGAAACTACCACCCATTTTTCTACAGTCTTTGAGGGGCAAGAGAGAAAACAGCTTTATAAAAATGGCTCTGGCCGGGTATGGTGGCTTACGCCTGTAATCTCAGCACTTTGGGAGACCGAGGCTGGCAGATCACCTAAATTCTGGAGTTCAAAGACCAGCCTGGCCAAGATGGTGAAACCCTGTCTGTACTAAAAATACACAAATTAGCTGGCAGTGGTGATGCACACCTATAATCCCAGCTGCTTGAGAGACTGAGGCGTGAGAATTGCTCGAACTCAGGAGGCAGAGGGTTGCAGTGAGACAAGATGGCACTACTGCAAGATGGCACCACTGCAAAATGGCGCCACTGCTCTCCAGCCTGGGCGACAGAGCAAGACCCTGTTACCAAAAGGAAAAAAAAAAGGCCTCAAATTTCGGCTCGAACTTACTCTAGATTTATTTTCCTTTCCTGCATTGATGACATAGCTAGCATGTGATACTCTGTGCAATAATTTTAGAAGTTCTGGGCAAACTCCAGAATTCATGAGCTACCATCACCTCAAGAAACATGGAAATATACTTTAGTTGACTAAAATTAATAGAAAAGAAATTGTTTTATTATTTCCATTGAGATGCTATTAAACTGTGGCATTTTTTCCTGTATTTCTACATGAAACATATAACTCATTCCTGTTTTTGCCTATTATGTTGGTACAAGGAAAAAAGAAATCCAAAGATATAAAGCAATCAAATTACATTGCTATTATTATGTCAACAATAATATCTTACATTTATGTTCCATTTCATACCTTCTATGAGGTTTTCATGTTAAACTCAGATATTATGACCCTCTTTTTTTACTAGCAGATGAAACTAAGACCCAGAGAGACAACCCATCTTCCAATGACCACAAGAGAACTCTAATACACATCTCCAGGTTCCTCAATCAATAGTTCTCCATGCTAAAATTACAGGTATTCATTCACAAAGGCATGGTTTGATAGGCCTATATAGGTAAAGCTTAACATTTCAAATATAAATAGGGTGTCTGTATTTTCCAAGGTGACGCAGTGAAATGGAAATAAAGTAGGGTAGTTTTAAAGTGACAAGTAAAAAGTTATACTTATAATAATGAACTACTATTGTGACAATATCCTAAAAACATGCTCATGACATCATTCTAAAAGCAAGCTATCCACAGCTGGAAAGCTCATGCCTCTCCTTAGTGACCAGAAGGGAATGCCATGAGAATAACAGGGTCAGCATTGTTTACCAGACCCACTCACACAATAGCAAGCTTAGGAGCGGACACAGTCACCCCAGAACATCCCACACCCACTCATCTCCCTGATCCACTTCCTGCAGCACTGCTCTCTAAACTCATCTTTGGCCAGTAGCAGTAGCTCACACCTGTAATCCCAGCAATTTGGAAGGCCGAGGTGGACGGATCACCTGAGGTCAGGAGTTCGAGACCAGCCTGGCCAACATGGTGAAACCCCGTCTCTCCTAAAAATACAAAAATTAGCTGGGCGTGGTGGCGCATGCCTGTAGTCCCAGCTACTCGGGAGGCTGAGATGACAGAATCACTTGAACCCTGGAGGCAGAGGTTGCAGTAAGCTGAGATGGCACCGCTGCATTCAATCCTGCGAGACAGAGCAAGACCTTGTCTCAAAAACAACCAACAACGACAACAAAATAAACTCATCTTTGGCCCTCCCAAGTCCTTTCCAAAAGCACGATCACAGAAAAATTAAAATGCTGTCTAGAAGACATGCCGAAGATATTCCAGCTTAAGGGAAATGCAAGGCAAAAAAAAAAAAAAAAAAAAAAATCCAAATTTCTGAAACAGTTCTGTATGTAAGTCAGACTGACCTCTGCTAAAAACCCAGACTATGTTACTGTAAGCACAAGTTGACAAACATTTTTTTTTTTTTTTTAGCCTCGAGACCGAGTCTTGCTCTGTTCACCCAGGCTGGAGTGCAGCGGCACAATCTCAGCTCATTGCAAACTCCACTTCCCGGGTTCAACCAATTCTCCTGCCTCAGCCTCCCAAGTAGCTAAGATTACAGGCACCTACCACCACACCTGGCTAATTTTTGTATTTTTAGTAGAGACGGGGTTTCGCCATGTTGGTCAGGCTGGTCTCGAACTCCTGCCCTCATGATCCACCAACCTTGGCCTCCCAAATAGCTGGGATTATAGGCATGAGCCACCATGTCTAGCCCGCAAACTTTTTCTATAAGAGGCCAGATGGCTATATTCTAGGCTTTTCACTATTACTAGATATTCAATATTCAATTTTACTATATATTCAATATTACTAGAATAGTAATATTCTAGGTCTCTGTCACAACCACTCGGTTCTGCAACTGCAGCACAAAAGCAGGCACAGATAATAAGCAACGTGATGGGTGTGCTTGTGTTCCAATAGAATTTATTTTATAAAACACAGCTGCAGTTTGTAGTTTGCCAACCTCTGTCTTGAGGATAGTCTGCTTAACTCTCATTCCCAAATCCCAAATAGCCACCACTTGTGAATTATGGCTGAGAGAATCTAACTTATTCAGCTCTCAGAATTATCCAGTAATCACCCACTGTGAATTGCGACACCGCAAATTCCAAAAACAACCGTAATTGCAGCAAAAGTAATAATAACTGTCTCGAAAATAAGCAAGAAGTAATAACTACTTAGTTTATGCCAGAGACTACGTTAACGTTTTCACAAACATCATCTCAGTGAATTCTCCTAACAACCCTACGTGGGAAGTGCTGTTAATCGTTCCCATGTCACAGTTTTCCATCATCATCAGGATATTAACAAAACTTCACTTTGAACTATGGTTTGTCTACATGACTTCAAAATTCATACCCTCACACACTGCACCCCAAAAGCACCCCTGGCATTATTTTAGGAGGACATAAGACAAATCAGAGAATTCAAGGCCTGAGATTAAAATCTAGACTATTAAACCAGTTTTTCAGGAACTGCCTGCTTCATTTTGTCAATTTAGAAACATTTCCCTCATAAAAAATGAGACTTTTTTTTGGCAGTCCCACTTTTCAAGCAACAATTATATCTAGAGGACTATCCCTGCAGCTAACAGTCCCGCATCTCATTGGCTGTGGTTTTAAGATGCTGGTCTGATGCACCTACAGTAACAGGCCTCAATTCTTCCTCCATCCTGGCTTGTCTTACACATTGGCCAAATGCTAAGGAATGCCTGTGATGAACTCCAAGACTTCTTGACATGAGAACCAATACTGCACCCCTTCAGTATGAGGCAACCACAGATACTGTCGAATTGTCAGGAAGAACTGCTGCAGGCGTAAGAACTGTATACCATCAGTTGATATCTGTCACATCCTATTCTTCTTTTACTCTTACTTTTTCCATTATGCCTAACAAATGACTCCATTCATTCTTCCAAATCAGTCCACACCCTTCCAAGCAATTCCTCAAATGACTCTCCTATCTGATTTCTAGGGAAAAAAAATTAACTAGAACAAGGGTTCACCAACTATACAATTTGTGGACCCTATCCAACCAGCCACCTGGTTTTGCACAGCCTGTAAAGCAAGAATAGTTTATATATCTTTTAATCAATGAAAAAAAAAATCAAAAAATGACACATGAAAATTATAAAATTCAAATTCCAGTATTCATAAATAAATTTTTATCAGAGCACAGCCAGTCTGTCCAGAACTGTCAGTGGGTATGTGTACACTACAAGGGCAGAGTTGCAACAAAGACGGTATGGTTTTTGATGTTGATTACCTGGATCTTTTCAGAAAAAAGTGTGCAAACTCTTGAACTCAAACTATCAGCCCTTCTGCTACTGGAGGCAGTACCCAAATTCAGATACAATGTATTCCAGAAAGACAAAATGAAGGCTTTTTAAGTCCACCAGAGTTAAAGACATCCACAATCACTCCATCACAAAGATGGCACCACTTATGGTCATCCTTAACTATGCCATGGGAAAAGTTTAAGGACTTTCATCTCTTTCCTGCCATTTGCAATCGGACATGCTAATGGATATAACTTCCAATTTCCTGACTAACAGCATTATTATTCTAAATTGATGAACTGTAAATAGCAGGCCACTTTGGGCCTCCTCCTGACTGATGTCAGAGCCACCGAGTACAAAATGATAAATTTTCTTTGCGTTTCTTGGCAAGATGCTATATATACGTCATTTTGGCTTTCATCTCCCAATTTCCTTCATTTATCAGAAATGGTGACAAAAAGCCTCTAATTAGACAATTCTAATCACAAGGTACCAGGTGTGATGGAAGACTTCAGAATCACTATCTGTTCACTGCAAAACAAAACAGATAGGCTATTCTCCCTACAGGGCAGGAGATTTATCAATAGACAAAAGGATGCAAAAAGCCAATAGATAAGGTGTAATTAAAGATCAGACCTATAAATTTTATACTGACATAAATTTAACAGAATTTACTGGGAGAAATTCAGGATTTAAACCCAAGCATCATTATGAAAAGAATACTTTCAGTTCTATATGCAACAACATTGCATAATACATAGATTTATTATAAGACTAATACTCTGTGTCTCCGAGCTCTTTCATACATGGAATTTGAATTATTCAGTGCCAAAGTAATTTCCAAAGTGGTCTATCTTACTCAATCATTCCTCCTTAATTAGCTTTAATACATTTTCCATATATTTGTGAGCATCAGAAAGCTCTTTTAGAAACAACAGTCCACCTCTCATATTTTGGAAGTTGTGGGAAGCCTAATCCAGAAAGGTCTGTATCTAGTTTTAGGTCTTCATTTTCGTCCCCTTAAAGTGTAAGAAAATTATTTCCAAAGTAATATTCAACATAGTTAGAACAATGCTATCTCCCTTCACTAGCTCAAAGGGTAAAAGTAAAAATAAAAATGAAAAGAACTGCAGATTACCATTGAGTAGACGGCTAAAATACATTTAAATAACAAGATGTGATTTAAAAATAAAGTTGCATTTCTTGGCTTAGAGCCTAATAGAGCATTCTGATATCTGATGTTCCTAATGTTGAGCCGACATTTAGCAGCTCAAGACTAGCCATATATTTTCTGCTCTCCGAAATCACAGCCGCTGAAAAGACAGAAAAGACTACGTCTTTCAGAAAATTACAAGTTTGGTACAATAACTCATTAACAGCAGAGTTCAGAAATAAATGCAAATTGAGGGGAAAACAGGTTGAGGAAACAGGTGGTAGAGATAAATTAAGGTACTTATAACCTTGAGGGAATACAGGCTCGAATATTTCAACTTTTAGTGAACTACGAAAGGTTTGAGCAAACAGAACTCAGGCATAAAAGTGATTGAAAGTGTGCTTTCAAGTGAGTTGAATGGGATGTTAACTGGCCCGTGTGATCTCCATCAGAACTGGACTTACCGGAGTAGGCCCAGTACGGGTCGCCTGAAGCCTTGCGCCTGCGGATCTGCACTGCACTGCCGTGTCTATTCTCGTGCAGGGCTCCAACGTAGCCTTCTGTCAGCGCTGCAAGAGAGGAGACCCTCAATGAGACAAAGGCAGCACCCCACTGGACATAGAAAGGGTGTGAAATGAATTGGGCGACTTCATAGAATCATCGTCCTTAGGGATGACTGACAAGAACCAACCTATTTTACAAAAATACAAAACTATAGGAAAGTCCAGACAAATTGGTAGTAGCAGTAATCATTGATGAGGAACCTTCACTTTGTGCCAAGAAATGTGGCCCACTAAGCACTTTACAGACATTATCTTATTAGATCTGTAAACACCACCAAGCAGTACAAACAGTGATCCCAGTAAGGGGCCCTTTTATGGATAAGCAAACTGAAGCTTCAACAACTGAAAGAACTTTAACTTGTCCAAGGTCATATACACAACTAACTCGCAGACTTCGGGTTCAACTGCATGTATAAGATTATGACCTATGTGTAAAGACCCTCTGACCCCATTTGACCTTTACAGAGCCAGGGTCATTCTATCTCTTTCACAGATGGAGGAACTAAGGATCAGAGACACAAAGTAACTGGTCCCAGATCACACAGTAGGTATGCAGTAGATGAGAAAGCCAGACTTAAGTATCCCTGCATCAAAGCCAGGGCTTCCGCCACCCAAACACAGCACAATCTGAAACCTAGGAGCCTTTGTGATTACTACCAGTCTTCCATATCCTTCCCGCCACCAGCAGTCACCTGTGGTGCCCGAATACACGAAACAAGAAAGCTTCCAAAGCCCACAATGCCCAGAAAAGAAACTATGATTAGTGATATCGATTTCAAATCTCAAAATGAGTTCAGCCCACCAAGCAAAAACAAAAACACTCCTCTCACCCGTTATGGAGAGCTTCCATTCGCCTGCGATAGCATTCACAGCCCTCTCCTCCCAGCTACCTCAGGGATGCGGATTTCTTTTGCTGGGAGCCCACACCTGAAAACACTGACGTGTAAGAAGACAAATATCACAGGTGCCCCAAATCCAAAGTGTAATGGATTATATGCAAACAATATACCCCAGCTGAATATGACAATATTTAAATGCACCAAAACAAAAGCAAGCGTGCTTTAAAAAAAAAAAAAAAATTAAGCCGTGTACATTGAATATACGGCTTCCCAAAACTTTCAGAAAAGCACAACACCTTCTGTATTCCAAACTAGCCAGTGGAATAATATCACCAAGACGGCATTAGCCTTTTTAACCATGTGACAGTCATCAAGAAAAATGAGAAACCTGTAAAGTACTTTATCTTTATACTTCAATTAAAAGGACTAGCAGCTGAGTGCAGTGGCTCACGCCTGTAATCCCAGCACTTTGGGAGGCCGAGGCGGGTGGATCACCTGAGGTCAGGAGTTCAAGGCCAGCCTGGCCAACATGGTGACACTCCATCTCTACCAAAAATACGAAAATTAGCCGGGCGTGGTGGTGGCTGCCTATAATCCCAGCTACTCGAGAGGCTGAGGTAAGAGAATCGTTTGAACCCAGGAGGC